TGTTCTGATATGATTCATGTAGTTTAGAGAAAAGTATTTTGGTCCACCTGGTATTATTCATCTTTTGTAATCTGTCCAAATACTTTATTCGGGATTTATCGTAAATAAAGTTGATGTCTTGCCATCCTAAATCTCCCAATATTGCTGGGCATGCTACATTCCTATTACTAACTTTAAAGAGAAACTTGCCAAATTGATACTGGATGCTTTTAAGTTCGTTTTTATTCACTGTACTTTCTGACAGCCATACACTACCGGTAGATCCATACATGGCATCATTATTTTGCCACAGGACATCACCATACTCAAATCTATTGTAACTGTTATGTTGGTTTATGATTGATTTACTGTATGCTAATATTTTCGTTGCTTTTTTATAAGTTTCCATAAAATGTGAATGATACTTCAATGATTTTGAAATAATGATGCCTAAGTACTTGTGTCAAATTTCCTAATTTCCAAATTGTTTCTTTTTTATGTAACTTCTTTCCAAAATACCTGGGATTTAGATTTATTAAAGCTTAATTTCCATTGCTCTGCAAATTTTAATGCAATATCTAACATACCGGTACTTTGCAGTTCAACTACGTTATTTGCTATGAGGACTATGTCATCTGCCCAGAATAGACCAGGTATTAATTGTGTTCCAATCATTACCCCCAGTTTAGATTTGTATAACATTTCGGCGAATTCATTAATGTAAATTGAGAATAGTAAAGGACTTAGTACACACCCTTGTTTAACCCCTTTATTAGTTTTGAAATAATCTGTTTCAATATCATTAAAATTGATTTTGTTTAGAACATTGTCATGCATGCCATCAATTATATCCCATAGCTTCCCTCTGATTCCTGCATTCCATAAACAAACTCCTAACCCATCTCTCCAGACTCTATCGAAAGCCTTAGAAAAATCAAGGAAGGCAACATAAGTTGATTTATTATTTGTTTTCCACATGGAAGCAATGCCTTTAAGTATGAACACATTATCCTCACATCGTCTATCTTTCCTAAAACCACCTTAAATTTCGCCTAGTAAATCAGCTCCTTCAACAAATTTCTTTAGTTTTGTTTCTAATATTTTAGCATATACTTTTGACGCAGATGAGTTTAGGGTTATACATCTATAGTTATTTAAGTCTTTCATGTCTCCTTTTTTATGAATTGGTTTTACAACTCCTTTTTTCCCATTCATCTGGGATTTTACTATTCCTCAGACATGATTGAAATAGAACTGTTAAGGATTGTACTATTGATTCCCCACCATTTTTAATGAACTCATTAATTATGTTGTCAGGGCCACATGCTTTACCCGTTTTACAAGATTTTATTGCATTGCGAACATCATCCTCGGTTATATAATTAGAATTAATTACTGGAAAATTAATGTTGTCTTTATGTTTGATTTTACCATTTCTAATTAGGCTCAGTTCCTCCATAATTTGATTATGGAAATTTGTTTCTTTTTTTTCCTAGATCTTTATTTATTTTCCCCGCTGTATTCCAATAGTGTTTGATATTATTTTTGACTATATCTTGGTTTGTTGTTATACGATTACCATTGCATAAGACATCATAAATACATGTTTGTTTGATATTATTTTTTGGTCTATCATATCATTCCAGAACATTTTTGAAGATTTTCCTCTTCGTTTAGCAATATCAACACTACATTTAACTTTATACTTTAATATTTTAAAATTAATTTTATCATGTGCTTCTATTTTATGTTCAATTATGTAATGGCAATCTTGAGCTTCAACCTGAGCTTGCTCAGAGTCAACCTGAGCTCCACACTGAGCTTCAACCTGAGCTTGCTCAGAGTCAACCTGAGCTCCACACTGAGCTTCAACCTGAGCTTCCTCAGAGTCAACCTGAGCTCCACCCAACTTGAACCCTGGAAATTGTTTACAACAAAAGCTCTAAATTCAAATCAGTTGTGTTGGAGTCACACATTAAAGCAGTTGTTTCACACACATGAAACATTTTTCCTTTTTTTATTCTAATCTTTATTTCTGCAGTTACAGTTTTATTTTATTCTGAAAAGGAAAAATTGACTAATTATTTAAATAATAATAATGTTAATTTAATATTATTTTTCTATCAGTCTACAACAATAAAGTAATAAATGGAAGTTGAGTTGGTTAATAATAAGATAAAGGTAATAGTAAACAAAAGTACCTGAAAGTAATTGTTTTTATTTTCAGTTTTATTATGTAATTCATCTTCAGTTTTATTAGCTCCGCTGTCCACTTTGTCGAGCGGATGAGTGATTGTCTGTCGTCGTCCGTGTCAATGTTTTACAATTAATGCTTTGATACTTGGTGTACATTGTATATGTACATTGGGTAGACCTCTCTCAGATTTGTTCATTTCAAAACTCAGATTCGAATTTCAGTTAGATCTGAAAATATGTGCGATGCACTAGAATGACATTACGAAAACATGCGATCTTCGGGTAAAGACGTGTCAATTAACTACCAGCATATTAGCCATGGCTCACACCTCCTCTCTTACATGCCCCCCAATTCACACATACAATAGGTGTTGCTAGTCTGTTCTATAGTAGTCTGAGGTATAACAATAATAATAATAAC